ACTATTATTATTCTATATAGTTATTCTTATTTCAAGTGTTTTCAAAGAGGTCATATGATGTATGGCCACTTTGTCTTGTGTCCCACAAACAGTACATGAACTTCATTGTTTTTCTTACAAAAACAACCTACGTTTGTGTGATTAAGCAATTCCAAACAAACGCCTTATCTAAAAATCCCAGGTATGTTAGTTAATCACCATCTATTTATTCACCAATTACTCGAAATAGTATGTGCCAATACTGATTTCTACACGACTGCATGTGATAGGAACAGGTGGGAGTAGTGCTCACGTCTACCTGTGTTAAAGTTATTAAAAATGCTAAAACACATCAGTTATATCTACCCGTCTTCGTCCGATACAGGGAAAGTGTCTACTTCCGGAAATCGAGTCACGTCGCAGTTGTTTTGTACCTCTTCAATAATTTTTATTTCAAAGCGTTTGTATGTGTTGTTGATAATTGCGTACGCCTATAATGTTCTATTTTTTCAAGTCGGACGGTAAATTTTCGAAAATTGTCGTGGTGCTGTTCGGATTTTTGAGGGTGGTATTATGAGAATGGTATCATCCATGTGCGAAAATACAGTTAACAGTTTGAATAACAATTATTATCCTCATAAGGTGAGTTATTTCAATGTAGGTTAAATTATTTTCCATGGTTTCATTTTCATAATAGTTTTAGAATACAATTTTACTATATAATATCTGCTTCTTTAGAGTTAATAATGTTTAGCGAAATCTTTCATTAGGAATATTGAAAAGTTGACTAAGGCTGTTGGTAGAAATGGAATTAAAATAACTTTGTGGTCATAATATCGTCATATTACCATGAGACATACCACTTGCATACTGAATCCGACATGTTTGATATGTTTTGAACAATTCAATGAAATTTTTCAAACGAATTGTCTCAATCTAGGATCTGAACTTACTGCATACCACAAATAATTATCGGACATTATTGCATTTTCTTCTCCAAGTTTTTGATTGAATCACATAAAACCAGGCTTGATGTTTCTAGCGATTGAAAATGTTCAAATTATGCTGTCAGCGATTATTAATAGAACCTTATGTAATACATTTATTGACGATCAAGTTTCGATATTCAATTTCGACCAAAACATGACACACTGAATAGTAACCGGACTATTAACCTTGTAATAGATTTGTTTACTTATTGTACAACAATTTTTCTCTAGGTTTTTTTCTCATTACTATCATATACTTTTACAAATAATTTATTCAGTTTTGTGTCCGAAGGAATTGCAACAACTGAAAAAATAATCATAAATTATTAACGATATTATGCTAATGCAAGATCTCATGATATAATCCGATCAAAATAAATGTGGTTGAAGTAAATGTAACAACAACAAATCTTATTTCGAAATCCCCCTCATAAAACATCACCCACGTTACTTAATTACATCAACATCGATTATTATTTTTTTTTTTTTCATATAACGCCTTGGTTGTCCTTTTCAGAAGAAAGTGTAGTAGTTTCTACAGTATGTGAGAAACAATAAATTCAGGTCTTAACGAAACAAGCAGACCAACATTCTTAAGACCTTTAGACCGCAGCCAGATATTGATAAACCAAAGAATGACCTCCCAGACTCGTGTGGAAACGCTGTGAGAAAATGATTGAACTGACAACAGACATGTCTGAATACTTAGGAACGCCAGTAGGTTAAAGAGCTATTAAATGTGTCAGACACGAATCACCAACTCCATATATAAGCCCCAAACCATCTGTGCAAGTACCAAATCATTAATATGAAACCATAATAGAAAATGGGTCAATGAAACACAAAGGAAATTGTGAAAATGCACATTTATAAAGCGAGTTTATAATTTAAAAAAAACTGATTCTTGTTTGAAGGATACGTGAACAATTTAGAACTGTGTAACGAAGACCTCAGCAATAGACAATGCAACAGGGGGGCAAAGGCAGCTTGTGATGTTTCATATGAGGCACTTCATGATGGTAGACGATGAATGTGAGGATATCCAAGAATATGACAAAGATCCATCAAAACGATCTGTAAGAAATTGTAAAACGCAATAAGCCCACGAGGCTGCAGTGTTTTCCAGAGTTAACAATGAATTAATACGTCACATAACTTTCTGACTCATGGGCCATTGAGTTTCTTCGCGAAGGCTCTGCAATAAGTGTGAAACGCATCCGTGAAAGGATCCAGTATATTTTAGAAAGGAATTTTTGTATTGCCAAACTCTTTTACATTCAAGTTTTAGCACTATAAAAAAGAGTGAGTGATAATCGTAAGTCATCCTTACGACGTATTCGTGAAAAACAAAACCCTATTTTTAAACACAAAAATACAGACTTCAAATACGTAGAGGTCTGTACAGGTCAGAATTTCAAATCTTTTGAAGATTTCTCGACAAAAATGGTCTTTTTTCGCAGCAGTAATACACCTCATGATTTTTTTCTGTGATACGAGGACGTTATTCGACAGTGTAGAGTCTCCCCATAGGCAAATACCATACCTCAGTCGACTTTCCACTTGTGCGTACTTTATTAATTGTTGCTGTGTCAACACAACTTTGAGATTTCTGAACATATAGGGGAGAGATGAAAGTTTGGAAATCAGGAGCTTGCAATGTTCTTTCCAATCTAAATGTGAGTCAACGAATACTCATAAGAATTTATAGCTGTTATTTATAGGCAGAGGTGTGATATTCAAAATTATATCTACATCTACCATTTCCCTCTGATGACTTTGGAATTTCACAAGGTTAGTTTTGTCTACATTAAAATAAAGAGTGATTTGATTGAATTAAGAAGTTAGTTGGCATAGAGCAGTTTAACAGGTTTCTTTGTTTCTTTTAGTTCTATTTGATTTTTGTTGGAAATCAGTAAAGAAGGGTCGTCTGCATAAATAGTCATCTCAATTGAAAAATAGAATCGTTTGTTTGTATTCGCTTGTTATTTCAGTAAAATTCAACGTTTGGGTTTTGAAAATTGAAAGGGAAATATTTATGAGATAATATACAAAAAATGTACAAAATATTGATGAAAATATCAGTTGGAATCAACATATTGAAGGACTTCGAAGAAAATTCCACATATTACTGATAATTTTTATAGATATGAAATTATTTTTATTGCAAATATCTAATGAACATATATTATAGTTTTATTAATTCAACATATACATTTATATATTCTCTATATGGGGGTATGCAAATATCGCGACTTTGAAAACATTGAGAATACTTCAGAACAAATCTATCAAATTTATTCATAGACTTCCACTTTAATTCACTTTATAAATTTTTACCTTCATTTATCTTAACATTATAGGTAAAAAATAGTGCAAAATGAAATTCACTGAAAATAATTTCATTTATGAGTATTACATACTTCAGGAATCGGAAATTGAGAAATGAACTTCCAGCTAAAACTACAGAAACATAGAGTATGTCTGAAAATTCGAAATATTTGTGAAAAATTTATGAAATATTTGTCATATTTGACAGTTTATTGATAATGTATCTGTGCAGTACACATAAATTTGTAAATAAAAACAATATCAATTTCTGTTATTATTATTATCAATAGTTTTCCCCCTCAAACTGCCCTGGTTGAGTCTTATTTCCGAAGCCCGATACATTCGGGAGGGCGCGCCAGCATTATCAACCAATGACCACTCCCTACACGTGGGGTAATTGATCATTGGGTTCGGAAATCATGTGCCCTGAGCAAGCTCAGTGAGCCAAAAATGACAGCCTCCTGTATTTGTCCGGCTAAGATTTCTGCCTTAGTACGGCAAGCCGGCATGATCTTGAGATTCGAGAGGGCATTATTATTATTATTTTAAACCGTAGTTTGCACTGGTCAGGGCCTATCCTCCGAAGCCTCGATACATTCGGAAGGGCTCGCCAGCATTATCAAATAACGATCACTCCCGACACCGTGGGGTTAGTGATCATTGGAGCAAGCGCAGTGAGCCAAGAATGACAGCCTTCTGCATCTGTCCGGTTAAGTTTTCTGCCTTAGTGCGGCAAGCCGGTATGATTTTAAGATTCGAGAGTAGGAGTAGGGCATCCATCAAGGTCCCCAATAATCACAACAATTATCTTGACAGAGTGGTTTGGATAGAATCTGCGGAGTTAGAAGAGATAATTTATCCGTTTTTCCTCATCTTTTCGAAATATTCGTCTCGCCAGGAGCTGGAAACTCCACGACAAATATCGTCGTGTTCTGGTGGTCGAGAAGGACTACATCAGGTTAATCACTTTGTATAAGCCTGAGGGTGGGGACGAATAGTTCCAATAAACTCGACACTTCTCGTTACCCACTACAGATTCAATGTCCCCCGGAGCGTAGGGCAACACCGGTGTCTTGTCAATACCGTAAGAGTGCTGTAGATGGTAATATAGCACTCTAAGGGCCGCGTTATGTCCGAGATCGCATATGCTGGACATGCTGATAGCAAGTGAATTAGGTACTCGGACGCCTCACGGCAGACCCTGCACCTTGTGTCAGGAACCTTTATACCCATCACGCGACTGCGGTAGACTAAGGTGTTGAAGACACCATCCTGGCAAGCCATGATGAACCCCTCAGTCTCCGACTTCAGCCAACTCGACCTGAGGAAAGCGAAAGCCAGGCGCTTTGATAAGCCAAGGTCTTCAGTGTTATTGATAAAGTCCCCGCATTGGCTTATCTTTGTGCTTTCGCAAAAGTGGGGTAATCTCGGCGGCTTCTATATGAGCTTTTTGCTGAACGGGTTTCAACTCGGTGACAGAGTTGGAACCCGTTCAGTGTCTTAAACTAAACCAAGTTCATCAGCTACTCGGGCAGCTGCCCTAAAGAGAAATGCTCCAATTCCTGACCTCTCATTATTATTATTATATATTTTGAGTTTGAATTGCCCTATTATAAACAGCCAATGTTTTTTGATAAATTTGAAACAATTTATTTTTTGTATATTGATTCATTACCGTTACATTTATAAGTTTTTGTTTTCTAGGAACAAATAAGAAAGCGCAAAGAAGACGAAGACAGGTTGGCCGCTCAAACCGAATTCCTCAACCGATCTCTTCGCGGTTCTCGTAAACTACAGGCCTTAGAGAGCCGGCCGCAGGGTTCCGTAAACGATGCATTCGAGGACGAAGGTCAAGAGTCATCCAGGTCGGCCACCCCCTCACCAGCTGTCGAGAAAGAACTCGTTCACGTAGCTTATGGTAAGTGTTGAACAGATCGTAGTTAAGAGATAATGGCTTCTTCACTTTTCACAAAGAAATCGGAAAGGAAATATGTCTTACCATACAGGGTGTCTCCTCAATAGATTCAGAAAATAAATGGAGCTATTTTTTAGTTGAAAAGAATGTACCTCGTTCACAAAATATGGGCCTTTGGAACTTTTGAAACCTTTCAGTATTTAATTTTTGATTTTCAAGTCTTGAAGAAACATTTTCAACCACGCGACGTTTGGCTCTTTGGTTTGCTAATTGGGATTGTCTATGGCTGTTTTTCGCAAATTGTCATTGCGATGAAAATTGATACTGGCCTCTCACAAAAAGGTATAACAAAACAACGACTTTTGGTTATGTCTCTCATTATTGGCTCAAAAAATTTTGCTAGAAAAAAAAGCACTATGAAGAGCATTCAACTGAGATCCGTCCAGATATAATAAAAATCACAATGCCAAAATGAAATCTATGCTCATTGAGTCGTCTAATGTAACACGTTCAATTTGATCTTTGTCAAAACCAGTCAGTAACAATTTCACGTCGCCAATTCAATTATGAAATATTAAGAAAACTAAACCCCATAATTATCTCCTAATGGCCTAATACATCAACAGCATTCATGAATTGTTGCACCATTCATACACCTTGGGTGTATTTTTCCTACCAACTGAAATACTCGATTAATAAACGTCCAAGCTGTATCTACCCCTTAATTAAGAGCAGCTAGTTGTTGGTTTACAGATAGATCAAAAACACCTGTATTTCAAGCGGAAATATATGCTATTGAATTATATACGGAGAGATTGGAAGAATTCAACCTCATACACAAGTCAATACAAATATTCTCGGACAGTCAAGCTGCGTTGGAAGCTCTTAATTTCTACCAAGCAACGTCTAAATTGGTAGCAAATTGCCAAAAACCACTCTCCTCGATAGGAAGACTTATTAGATTGTCTCTGGTCTGGATTCCTGGCCATACTGGCCTGGAAGGCAATGAAGTTGCTGACTTTCTTACAAAGGAGGGTGCTGCAAGCGGCTTCATTGGACCAGAACCTGTCATTGGCATCGCTTTGGGCTTTGTTAAACAAATACTGAACACCTGGATGGCAAGAAGATTCATGGACTTCTGGCAGAATCTTCCAGGATTAGCTCACTCCAAGGCGTTTATCCACCCTTCGAAGCTTGATACCAAACAGTTGTTGGACTACAGTAGAGATGAACTACGATGTCTTAACAGGTCTTCTTACAGGTCACTGTCATTTGAATCATCATATGCAGAGACTCGGACTATCGGAAGGCACTGTGTGTCGCCTCTGTTTGGAAAATTATGAAACAGCAGAGCACATACTTTGTGCCTGTCCCACTGGAGGCCGAATCCGGTTTTCAGAGTTCGGCAGAGAAGTACTCTTACCATCTGACCTGAAAGACCACTCACCATACAAACAATTCGGCTTCGTTAAGAAGCTGGGTTTATTTGGTCGAGTGTGAATAGATTTGAGCCACAATAAACCCTTGCGGGTTGCGGTGGAGAGTCGAATATAGCTACTTACTTTGGACCTAACCTAACCCCTTCATCACATTTGCAGCTGAGGTCTTCGTTTTACAACATTATTTTGTTCATGTGTCCTAAATGAATACTGTTCGGTGAATAGCCAGTAATTATTCCAAGTCTATCGCTACTCTTATCAAGCAGTTCTTTACTTATTTCCTCGGGTGTTTTTTCATGAAGGTTTCCGATGTGTGCTGCAAAACATATTTTCTCAGAGTATTTGTTTCTCATCAGCCTATTTCCTGCTTTGGTCCCGAACCCATACGAGGGTGATCTGAAAAGTTTTCGACCTAACAAAGATACAAGATATTTTTCAGATCATTTTTTTATTTTTCAACATATTCTCCTTTGAACATATCAATTCAGACCCATTAGGAATGTATTAGAAATCAATCAACTTTTTGCATTGCACAGTAGATTGCGATATGGTATATGTCTATGGGACTTATCTGTATCCCACATGATGCTCAAAAGCGTGTTCTGCGGTCACTCGTGAATATATCGGTCCGTACAAGTGGCAGAAATGTTTTTCAGAACTTCAAAATTTCAACGGTTCCTTAGTCTTTTTTGAACTCTCTGTATACTCATTCGAGAATAAAGGTACTCTATTCAGTATCAACGAGGACAGACTAGTCCAATACTAGACAGACAACTAGGACAATACTAGAACTAAAAATGACCTTGATATACCTTTTCATAAATACTGAGCGTGTATCTTTGAACTCTCCTCTATCTATGGCACCCAGGGTATTCAATAAATTGCCAGACTATATGAAAGAAAGTGAAAGAACAAATATATTCAAGGAACAAATACGTGAATATCTACTGGAAAAATGTTTGTATAATGTTGAAGAGTTTATATCATGAAACTGTATTGTAAAATATTTTCAGAAACATTTGTCTAGACTATGAATTCTGAATTTAAAGTCTTTCACTTCAAATTTTAGATTTTGTTTTGAATTTCAAAACAAAATCAGTTCAAAACAAAAAAAGTTCATAACCTCTGATATCTCTCTCACTTCATATCTTTCCATAACTGCTTGATGTTTGTTTAATATTTTTAATCTAAATCCTAGTTTCTTTATCCAATTCACAGCACAGCAGCAGCAGCTGCTCACAGCAGCTCACGTTATGGCCGGAAGTATTCAATTTCTTCCTTATGATTTCAGTTGAAGAAATTTCATTGCTTTTGTAACAGTCGTATATTGTTTTTTTCAATGATTTTATTAGATGAGCATCTAAAGGTTTTGTTAATCCCGTATCAAATCGCGTCTTGCGTTCATAAGGTTTGTTCTTAACTATTTTACGTACAGTTGAGACAGAAATTTCGGTCAAATCTGATGTTGCTTGCAATAGTTTGTTTCCCTCGAAACCAAACTTGAGATGTAGATTCTTATTTACGATGAAACATACTCTCTGTGTTTCAATATTCAAATGCATCCGAATCTTATTCACTGATATCTTTTTCTCGCATTGTTCACCATCACTATTGGAATCACTACACAGGAAAAAGTCTGCGTTGTTATCACACTCGTTATTACTATTAGTATTTGTCCAAGGATACCACATTTTAAACAGATAACAAAAATTTTAAGTAATTATAACACCAATATCGAATTTCAACACTCAAATCGCGATCAGTTCCAGAACTGAACATTGACAATACGACGGCTCGCATTCTATTCGTCACCGTAACATGACTTCAAAATTTAATTTTATGACTCTTCAGCCAATCATAAAAACTCGATTAGTAATAATCATCCAATACGAACCGCCAATTCTTCAGTCCACGTGGACTAGCTGGCAGCGGCTTTATCTCTTTATAATGGTTTTTTTGGTCTTTTGAGGGCGCCGACACTTTAAGTATACACAATACCAGTTATTTCTACTATACATTGCACACATTTCCGCCAGGAAGACGGATATGTATTGATCAATATGTTCCAGCTCCCGTTCCAAGTTAGTGTTTCAAATTGTCTGTTTCGGCCAAGCATATTCTCAGAATGACTTGTCATTGAAACTAATCTGAACGACCGTTTTTGTCATACCCATTCGGTCTTCGCTGTTGCGGAAGTCGAATACCGAAAGAAAACAAATTACGTGGGTAAAATTGAGTTGAAATGGGTTTTTTCCCATTGACCAGCGGTCGCCTCCCCTCTTTTGAACGGTTAGCCTCAAAATTCGAAACTTGTATTAACTACGAATCGAGAAAGTCTTACATTTTAACAATTCCTAGCCTTATGGTTAAGGAACAAAATTTCGCCAACAATGTCGACCCTGATTCCCTCCACAATCTGAGTAGGGGTTGTGTAGACCATATATTTTAGATATCTCCACATAAAAGTACAGAGGATTCAGTTCTGTTGACTCTGCAGACCTTAACGTCCTATGATAATCGCATCGTTTCAATATACATGCTTCATTGGTTATTGCATGCAATATGAGTAGACGAACCATTGAAAACAAAGAAATGTAACTACTTCTCGGAACAATTCCATGAAATTCGTCAACATCCAATTCTGTAAAAACATCACATTTTGAATAACATTTTTCAACTGCGATACCTGGCAATTTAAATAATTCAGTATGCGGAAAATTATAGAAAACCATTTTCAATTTGAGATTGATACTTATGATTACGATATAAAATTTATCGAGTGTGCCTAACAGTTATTAGTTGTGAAAAAAACATGCGTAGATTATGAACAAATTGAAACCGTGACAAATTTTAAATAAACATGTAAACAATGTAAACTGTAGAACGATAGCAATACATCATCAGTTGTTCTCAAAATGTAAGAAATGTTTGACGACTCACGTTTCTATAGCTATCTCTCTTCTACTACCGACTACATATTTTGATTATTTGCGCCACCGAAACAGCTCAAAAAATTAACCAGACATTTGGCAATGATAGTGTAAACGAACGCACTGTTCGACTTTGTTTTTCGACATTTCGAAGATGAGCCCTGAAGTGGTCGACCTACAGTAATCCAGGACGAGCATTTAAGGACCCTGGTGACGTGACGATCCTTTTTTGGAACGGATCGTCAAGTGTGATGAAAAATGGATCCTCTACGACCACAGGAGAATGGTTGGACATCGATGACCATTCCAGGCACTTCCCGTCAGTAGCAGTCGGCACTGGTCAAAAGATGACGGTCCAAATCCTGCTCCACAACAACGCATGCTCGCACTTTACACAAATCACCATCCGAAAAATTAATTGAATTGAGCGTCGAAGTTCTGTCTCACCCACCATACTTCCCAGACCTCTCGCCAGCCGACCATTATCTTTTCAAGCATTTTGATAACTTTCTCACCAGTGGAACCTTCGCTAATCAGGATCAGGCAAAAACGTACTTCGTCGATTTCATTGGATCCCGGTACGCAAATAATCGACTTGTGTTACGTTGGCAAAAGTGCACTGATTCACATGGGGGTCTTTTCGGTCAAATTCAACCATATATAAAACGAAATAATTAGTGGACACAACACTCCAAAAAGGGGGGGGGGGGCAAACCGCGGACACGTGTTTCTGGCTATTGGCCTCATCAGCGCGGTGCAGCCAAGTGTAAAGATGGGCAACACTTGTTTGCTGGGACTAACTGGAACCACAAATGTGCAAAGTAAACTCATAAAAACGGACAAAACTGTTGAAACAACCTAATATTTGACTTATCTAAAAAAATAGAAAATGGTAGAAGCTTATTAATCACCTTTGTTGTTATTTTTATCAAGGATGTATAATCTTTAGTATTCAATTTGAATCATCCACACTTTACTCGCACAAATGGGCATTTGATGTTTGTAAACAATTACGTACCTATTAAATATTCATGTCACAGCGCCTTACACAAACTCTCAACAATATTTTCCTTCATCAATTCTATACATTAAAGTTCAGTTCTCTATGAGTGTTATTTGCTTGATGCGAAAAATACATCTTTCATTGTAATTTTTGCCTACACGATTTCCTACATCCTCTTGTCATTCAGTTCTAAAGGAATGTCGCCTATTACTTTCTGTTCTTTCTGTTGCTGAACACGTGATGAATTGATTTTTGCAGAAGACGTGACGAGAGCGATTCCATCAATTTATCTTTGTTCATTTTCGAAAACACCTGTTTCTGAATCATTCACAACGTACTACGTGTATATAAAGTTGGCATGTACATTGGTTCTTATTCACCTCTGCAGGTGAGTTTTGTGAGAAAAACTGCAAGAGTAGGTATATTAATTCAAGTGTTATTAGTTGTGGTGAGTTTTTATTGTATATTTTTGAAGTATACTTCAAGTAAACGATATAGTGCAACCTACCTCCCAACAGTTCCCCTTTAATAATATAGTTCTGTTAACTAATTCTGTTATTCAATAATCATTTCTGATTATAAAAGAAACACAATATATTATATACAACCGATCGCTTCAAAAACCCTTCACTAACTTTCTTAGAAAGCTTCTGATAGTTCCTCTTCCATATTTTCTGTTTCATTATTACTGACGTCATTTAAATCAATAATGAATTTATTTCCACCATTAATATGGAAGTGTCCAATCTCCATAATATAGTCTTTTTCAACTAAAACCTTTTCTGCCAGTCTTCTTCGGTAATATTAGATACTTCTTCTTTAACTAGCTCTATTACCTTCTTATCAAATTTTGGAAAATTATTTTTACGCCTGATGCTTTGTTTCAATTTTCCCCAAATCAACTCGATGGGATTGAAAACACAAAAATAGGGGGGAAGTCTCAGTATGGTGTATCCATACTTTTCAGCAAAACTCTCAAGGGCATACACTTTTTCAAATGTTTTTGTCTATAAACTTCAAGTAGTTGGTTTTTGGCATAGTTATCTTCAAAATATAAATTTTTATCCATTAAAAAACTTTGTATTTCATCTTTCCTCGAATTTTCATTCGGTAATTTGATGAGCTGTCGCGAATTTCAAGAACTATTACACTATTCGCATCCAAATTTGGGATCAATGGTTTTTCAAACCATTCCTCAAAAATATTAGCTTCCATGTTCTTATGCTAGTCAACATTGCAGTCCTCAAGTTTTTTTACACATAATTTCAAAGAACCAAACTTGAGATGTAGATTTTTTATACATTGAAACATACTCTCTGTGTTTCAATATTCAAATGCAACCGAATCTTATTCACTGGTATCTCTTTTTCGCATTGTTCACCAGCGCTATTGGAATCACTACACAGGAAAAAGTCTGCGTTGTTATCACACTCGTTATTACTATTAGCACTTGTCCAAGGAACATTTTAAACAGATTTTAAGTAATTATAACTACCAATATCGAATTTCAATTCAAATTTATGACTTTTCACCTAATCATAAAGTTCGGTTAGTAAAAATCATCAAATACGAACCGCCAATTCTTCAGTCCACGTGGACTAGCTGGCAGCGGCTTTATCTCTTTGTACTGGTTTTTTTGGCCTTTGAGGGCGCCGATAGCTTTAAGTGTTCACAGTAAAGATTACTTCGACTATACCCTTGGAGTTTTTTTGTAGGATATCAGATATTAATTTCCAAAATCAAGCGTTTGGCAATAGCTGATTTTAAAATATTTCCATAAGTTGGTACTTATCTACTGTGCATACTCTTGATAATTTTCTTATTATTAATTAGTACATTTCTCACAGTTTCATAAAAACTCGAAAACTATTGAATATACGCAAAATTAGCTATAAAAATGCTCCTTTCACTTCAAGTTCCTTTTTTTTTTCTAAACTGAGTATGTTGAACCAGCCAAACTTTTAGAGAACAAAATATAGTTACTTAAATGAAGTGGATTGTCACCTATAAACGAGTATTTTCAATTGGGGCGGTAACTAGAGGGTTATTTTCACATTTTGTTCTTGTGGTATAAACTTTCCTCATTTTAGAAATTATTAATATTCAACGTGAATCGACAGTTTCTACAGTCACCACTTTTAAAGCTTCGTATGAATTTTTCTGCAGTTTTTCGACAAATTTTTGCAATATTAATTATATTCAACTATTTTTTCGTTATTGACTTAAATTCTGAAATAGTGTGATGTCATAAAAATGTATATCAAACACAATGCCTTCATAAACGATTGCACTGTATAGAAATGAGTGAGTAACCAAAGTTATGAATAGGAAACTATTTAATTGTATAAGAACATACTCGGAGTCACGATTAGAGAACACAAAATCCGGGCTGGTAGGCCGTGTTCGAATGGAATTTGTAGTGCGGACCAATGAAAAGTGAGTATTCGCATGGACACCCCACCCCAACCCCCAGCATCATCAACATCATCACCCCACCACTATCAAAAAATAAATATGAATGAACATGGAGCTCGCCAGTCAGTTGTTGGTGAGACTTTGAGATATAACCTCCATTATCGTACCATAGTAGACAAAACTTTTGATCAAATAATGTTGCGTATTTGCAACCATTGATTTCTTCTGAAGATTCGGGGGCCTCCAGGAACAGAATTATCCTTGCAATCTATGATAAGTGGTACAAACTTGATTGTTGAAAATAACAGTTTCATATATAAACACTAAACTTATGAAATAACAAGCGGTTATGCCAATCCCACTCGTCTGCCACAAATTTCATTAGACTACCTCCTGCCAGCCCAGATTTTGTCTATTAACTACTTATTTTTATCTCATTCATATGCTCCTGTATTCTATGGAAACATTATGGGACACCATTTATAATGACAAACATAACAAAAAACTATGAAACCACCTTGATATTTGGATTTAACATAATTGAAGCAAAGAAACAACATCATCTGATTTTCTTTTCAGCTTATGGCGACTTAGTTGCATCAGTTCAGCGATTGCAGCTTCAACTGAAGAAAGCTGGAACGGGTGGTGGCTTGGGAGGATTAGAAGGTCGCATCGCTGCCATACAGTCCTTGCTTCTATCCCCTCAATTTGGTAGGGCCCTGGCCGTCTACAACAAAGTCCAAGCCGTAAGGACTAGAACGACTCCCAGGCCCAGTCCGACAGCCCAAACTGCCCTTAGAGACTGCCTTGACGCTATTGGGAACTCCCAAAGTGCATACGCCGTAGAATTGGCCACCCTTTTAACAGGTAACCATTTTTGCTACACATTAAATGTTATGGATTGCACATAACTTTGTGTTCTGGTAGATGAAAGATATTCAAAAAAAATGTTTGTAAATGACCACAGAAAAAATTCACCCTTCGCCCAGAATAGAGAAAATATTTCTGATAATATAAAATGAAAATATATATTTTCCTTCAAATTCAAGTACGTCGGTGCGTTGTTTTTATTATTCAGGCGTGACTCTCAAATCAGTTAGATTCCTCAAAAAAGTTCCAGAGCAGTTCTTTCCTCAAAAAGTTCAATCCCTACTTCGTAGTTGCCAGTTTTAAAAATATTGGTACTGAAAGAGTATATTTCGAAGCTTCTGTACTCTATACAGATCCTGACGTAAAAACCTTGTCTCATTACAGTCCCTTCATTGACCATGGCAGACAACTTAGGTCACTGGAGAAAAGTTAGAGATTTTTTTCTTTGTTTGTACACGATTTGTTATAAAGGATCAAATGCTGATACTTGCTGCGGAAGTTAATGCGCGAATTTATGAGTTCACCAATATGAAGTGGAAGAACAAACTCGAAAGCCTGAACGTGCACGACCACTCTGTGTGGAGGATGGCCAAAAAATTGAGCAATCGGTCTGAGGCTACTCCTACCAAAGAGAGCGGGCAAGCGCACGCGGTGACGGAACATCAAAAGGCTCAGTTGTTCGGGGAATATTTTTCCAGCGTGCACCGAGTAGAACCGGATGTCTGTGAAGAACACACCAATAAAACCAGACTGGCTAATAAAGTCAGAAATAGGCCGGCTCCAATTATACCGGAGCAAACATTGATAAAGTGGATCACAGACGTAGAAGAAATAATTTTGAACATCAAGCGCCTGGGGAAAAACAAAGCCCCAGGCATTGATGGAATTGATGCAGTTCTGCTCCGCAACCTACCACGAAAGGGTATCGTACAACTGGTACATATTGTGAACGCAATAATCAAGCACCAGCATTACCCAGATTGTCTGAAACATGCGGTGGTAGTGCCCGTTCCGAAACCAGGAAAAATCAAAACACGTATTGATAGCTACCGACCGATCTCGCTTCTCAGTTCGGTCGCGAAGGTTATTGATAAAATCATCCTAAGCAGGCTTCTCCGCCTGGAAGATAGGATAAAACTCATCCCCGAGGAGCAATTCGGGTTCCGGCGAGGTCGGAATACGACATCTCAACTGGTCCGGGTTGTTCACGGGGTGAGGGAATCCTTCAACCAGGGGAAGAATACAGTTATGATCCTGTTATATATCAAGAAAGCTTTCGATAAAGTTTGGATAGAAGGGTTTGTCGCCAAAATGTGGTCGGCAGGCATGCCTTTATTCGTGATTAGGATTCTAGAATCCTACTTGAGCAACCGAGCTTTTCGTGTAAGAATGGACCAAACCACATCTGCGAATTATTCAATCAAAGCAGGTGTCCCGCAGGGGTCCTGTTTGTCACCGCACTTATATTCATTACATACGCATGACTTCCCTATGTTCTCGAGGACGAAGGTGGGTATTTTCGCGGATGACACCGCGATTTACGCGCACTCTTTCTCGAGAGAGGTGGCGAAGCAGCAGCTTCAGATCCACCTCGATTGGCTAGTCGTGCCGTATTTCGAACAAAATAAAATCGAAATAAATCCCGATAAAACTGAACTCGTAAACTTCACGAGGAAATTCACGAATGTGAAGATCTTCAGGAAGTTGCGAGTTAAGGATAAGTGCACTGACAAGCAGAAGAGTGCGAGATATCTGGGAGTGATCCTGGACAAGCGCCTGAACTTCCAGGAACACTTGAGTATGGCGATCCAACGAGCGGGTGCGGCGATAAAACGCACGTATTCGCTCATTGCACGGAACTCTAAGCTCAGTGTTGACAACAAGTTGCTTATTTATAAACAAATAATTAAGCTGGCTATGTTGTACGCGAGTCCTGTGTTCTGCAGTCTCAAGAAGTCCCCTTTAATGAGACTCGAGAGAATGCAGAATAAGGTGCTCCGTATTTGCACCAACAGATTGAACAATCTGTTAGAAGAATGCAGAATAAGGTGATCCGTATTTGCACCAACAGATTGAACAATCTGTTAGATCTGGCAGAAGTGGAGTCAGTCACCGACCATATCAGGAGACTGGCTCAGAAATTCTTCAAGTTCTTTCTACCGAAGAGCCCGCTGACGAGGGACGTCACGGCAGTTAGAAGCTATCATGGACAGCGCCGTAAGCATGGGCTAGTCTATGAAGAACTGGAGATATACCGTGAACGGCGCGAATGCGATCGCGCTTAGTTCATGGAAAAATTGGATAAGAGTATTCATGCATACATGATGACGTGATAGCAGAAATACTCTTACCTGGTTTTTTAATGAACTTTTTCCAGGGGGTTATCGACAACTGCTACCAACAAACAGACGAATGATTCTCTGAGAAGTACCGAAACGCGACAGAATGACAACTTCCGGCCTCGGCAGGAAGCGGAAAACTATAGATGAGGCTGATATAAGGCGTTTTTGAGTGGAGAGCCAACCGCCAACACCAGCGGAGGCGTCTCCCACTGCCCCATCAGGGGACTGTGTGGAGGCGCTTTTCTCTTCCGTGCGGAATTCTTGAGAGCGCAAATGTATCGGGGTCTTTTCCTGCCACTCCCTCTTCCCCATTCACTACCCATCCCAATCCTTCCCACTGTCCCACTCCATAGGGGAAACTTGTGTACATTTTGTATATTTGTATATATTTTTTTGTATATATTTTATAAACACCACATACCTTACCTTAACATACCTTAAAATTGTATGGAGAATAGTCGATAAAGAACATTTTCATTTTGATTTTTGTTATAAAGTTGATTTGTTTCAACCTTTTACCACAGATTGTGCAATAAGAATGACATTCAAAACTAGAACTCCCTATTACACTTTTGATATGTAGTCCTGTCATACGACTACTGTACATGGTCTTTTTTGTTTGGCCAGTTGATTTGTAGAACTCCTTACTTAAGGAAGTTTCCAACAAGTCGTTTTACTTTTCAATATTTAGGAAAAACTTGAATTTCAATTTCTTTTCCATTCCTAATTCGATTTTCGCAGAGTTTACTAAATACTGAAGTCTACTGGTTGAAGATGGTATTTTCATTAAAATCTTGTTCTCTTCACAAGTTCAGAAATCAAACTAAAAAAATCAAATTAACAAGTTCAAGTGTTAGGTAAAATTGGAATCTCTGGAAAAAGCTTCTCCTTATCAGGACAATATTTTAGACAGAATTTTTAGAATTATCAGGAGATGACTTACACTAAATTTCACGGCTATTTAATGTTTGCATGTGCATCTGGACGCTTTTTACCTAATAAGGGTCATTAAATTATTAACTTGTATCACTTATTGTTACATCTGATCTGTTTAAAAATCTGTTTTTCCGTTAACCAGCTGTCGCACCCCTACGAACGACAACCCTCAGAAGTCGAAACTTGTGCGAGCTAAGGATTAACGAGGTCTTACCTTTTAACGTGTGATTCCTATTGACATATTGACATTGTTTCGAAAGTTAATTACTATCTGTTTAGATATAAAAAGTTAACCTGATTTCTACTTCATTAACCTATCCCAGCAATTTCAAGCATCCCTCACCTATTATGTGGTCGTTCCTTAAGGCATGTTGAGCCGACACTAGACTTCTTTGGTCTATGAAACCGAATATATGAAAATGTGTTTTGTAGCGGACTATTATAGTCCGTTCACTCTGACAACCTACTATTTATAGCAATCTTCACAGATTAATTCATAAATCCCAGAATTTTCCTGTTCCGTCGTCTCGTTTCTCGGGTTGTCCAACACTTGTAGTGTTTATGCTTTATGAGTATGTTTTTGCCCTTGAAAACGATTACAGAATAAAGGAGGAATGCTTGAAATTGTTGAGGTCGATGCATGACAGAAGATTTTTAGATACCTCCAGAGATTGAAACATGAGAACAAATGTTTCTTCCAAAAAGCCAGTTCTTCATCCTCTTGTGAAACAGGTGAATACATTGAAAAAACAATTATTCTATTTTGTTTAAAAAATAGATCTTGAATTACTAATCACCATCTCCTCCTCCTAGTGTGATGTAACTGCCATTTTTGTACATTTTTACAGATATTACCCCACGGGGATTATCTAAATTTCCTTTTTTTCATTATGTTACTCTTTCATCACTTTCCACCTGACCAAAGATTCTGGATATGTTGACAATGCAAAAATTCAATTACAATTTTATCAACAACTTTTACAGTTTCGGGATTTATTGATTCTGAATCATTTATTTACAGGGTATGAATTTGAAGCCCTCATGGTGGCTCACGATGGAGTGGCATCAACATTACCAGCTGATTCTACAACACCCACGCTATCTTCTGCCGATTCCGTACCTCAATCGGTAACGGATCGTAGGTATGGGGAGGACAACATAAAAATTATAAAAATCGAGAAAAGTACTGAACCGTTAGGGGCCACAGTCAAGAATGAAGGAGATGCTGTGGTGATAGGTAAGATAGCTTCAAGTCCTGCGAAAAAAAAGTGTCTTGTATAACAAAAATTACATGAAACATGGGTCTTCTTTTCAGAGTTCACTTTAGCAAGTTACAAAATGATTCATACAAATCTTCATGTGATTAATTACGGCACCCAACGTGGGGCATTAACTAATTCGAATATGAATCAACTATTAATTTTTCTTCAGAATAGAATTGATAAGAGTTACTTCAATTCCTTTTTTGAGTAGCATTACAAAACATTCTAGTATGTTATATAAAAATTCGACTACCTCCTATTTTAGGCGGTAGCTAGATGATGGAGTAGTCTATAAATTTTATGGTTGGTTCTCCAGCAATCACTTAATCTAACGATGAGATGCACTCTAGTTTAGATTAGGTTCGATGTAAGTGGGTCTATTCGGTTTTCTAATGCAACCCGCGAGGGTTTATTGTGGCTTACAAAAATAGGGAACATGCGTATGTTTCAGTTTCAAAACATTTTGATTTCATCAAGTATAAAGCTGTGAGTAGTTAGTATAGATAAAATTTTTGAATTGAAGGGGTTATATTTTTAGGAGTGATTAATTTTTTGGGAAAGAAAGTTTTTGGCTTTCTACTACTCCATCTGATACATTCCATCTGTCCATTTGTTGGATACGGCCATGAGTTCATATTGTTTTATCCATATATTTGGGTTATCATCTTCAATGTTGAATGGGTTGATTTTAATAATTTTGGAATTGTCGGTCACCAATGACAGCCATTTTGACATCGTATGGTCGAGTTCTTCTCTTCCAATAACTAGTTTGGCTTCCAGGTCTCCCTTATCTCAACTGCTTTCATTATAATTGATCTGAAGTTTTTCTTTTTCCGACTGCGCCATATCGTAATAAACTTATAAAGAAACTAGAGGATGAATTCCTAACTGATAACTTTATTTGTTAATAATTTTACAATACTTGTTTTTTTATATCACCATGGTAATAAGAATATATGAAAATGAAGTAGGTATACATAGTGTTCATATAGTACAGATTACAAAACTATAAAATTTATAGTGTTACTATTAACATATACAAATATTTGAATTGAAGGGGTTATATTTTTAGGACTGATTAATTTTTGGGAAAGAGAGTTTTTAGCTTTCTACTACTCCATCTGACACAAAAAAAGGGATGAGAGAATCTTCCAAAGAAAGGAAGGAAGTAATCAATTTGAAACTCTATACATGAATGTGTAGATCATGCAAAGAAGTAACTTTCAGACACAAACTGAAAGAAAGTCCTCCTGAAATTAATTAATCACTCCTAAAAATACAACCCCTTCAATTCAAATAAGATTCCTCTTGGCTGGGATTAAATCAAATAGGTGAAAGAATGTCATTACGATGTCATCGATGACATAAGCAGATCAAGCTTATTCCGTGACATTCAAAATCGTAATTCATGAATGAAGTGTGTGTATTTTCTATAATGTTATCCAATTTGGTACTGAAGAGCCTTAGGGCAAGTGTCTTAAGGCGAAACATCGGTGTATACCGGTGAGGGTGACAGTGTTCCATGTGAGTACAATTTATTACCATTCATTCAAAGTAGAACTCATGTGAGTTATTCCACAACAAATGTTTGAAATAAAAACTGTGTAGAGAAAAGTATCTTCTGTATAATTCAGTGTTCATATAGAAGTATTTGTTTCGAAAGAATTATTTTCTTTCGTGTAATTCAATGTTTATATGAAAGTAGCTGTTTCAGGAGGACATTCTTTCAGTTTGTGTCTGAAAGTTACTTCTTTGCATGATCTACACATTCATGTATAGAGTTTCAAATTGATTACTTCCTTCCTTTCTTTGGAAGATTCTCTCATCCCTTTTTTTGTATCAGATAGAGTAGTAGAAAGCCAAAAACTTTCTTTCCCATAAAATTTTTATTTCTCTCTAATACAACATTTGAAATATCGAAATTTTAAACCTGCTCAAAAAAACTCGAGGCGCTATCTGGTAGACAAATGGGCCATTACTTTTCTTGGTTCCAATTTTTCACAGAGCGGGACTTTCTTTTGTCAAAATTGAGATATTGGATGCTAAGGATTACTATTATTATAACTGTTAATCAGGAGGTAGAAATATGAAGTAATTTTCTCTATTATTATCGATAATTCATAATTACTGAAGTTGATTGTACTGTTATTGATGATTAATTATGGTCGTAGTCGGTTTTTTTTAATGTTCATAAGAATTTGAACTGGGTACATGCTTGCACCCAATTCAAATTCTACTAAATGAATCCACCTTCAACGTAGGTTGAATTCATTTGGTACCAGCTATGTCTAATAATGGTTTGGGGCTATAATTCAAAGGATGTGCAAATATCTTGGGAGATTTTGTCATAAGTTTACAACTCTTCTTGCGGGTCAGATATTCAATGTTTGATTAATAAAACCTAAAGCGAAGCCAATGACATGTTCTGGTCCAATGAAACTGCTTGCAGCAGCTCTATTACTTTTCAGAAATCCGGGCCAGAGGCAGTTTGTTAAGTTTTATCGAGGAGAGTCGTTTTGGCAGTTTACCATTAGAATTTATTGACATTGATTTTCGCCAATTTCTCCACCCGAAATATGGACGCATAGGTTCCTACGATCTATATTTGAGCAAGCAGCCATCTGTTTGAGGCAGTTCATAGTCAATTATTGAAAGCGTTAAGTCGAAAATCATTCCCAGAATGTTGTGACTTTCAGTAACAAGTAGTCTGCTAAGCTCTGCATGACCCTGTTTTATGCAATGAGCAGTTAAAGTCTGACTATAAATCAATTATTATTTTCAGGAAGGATAATTCGAGGTGGGGCAGCAGACAAAAGCGGGCTCCTACACGAAGGCGACGAAATCCTCGAAGTGAACGGTATCGAAATGCGCGGAAAGAGTATCAACGCAGTCTGTGATATGCTTCAAACAATGGAAGGTACCCTGACTTTTCTTATCGTACCTGCATCGTGTCAGATTCGACCACACGGTATTCGAGACTCGTTTCTCCACGTTAGGGCTCATTTCGACTACGACCCCGAAGAGGACATGTACATCCCGTGCAGAGAGCTGGGGATAGGCTTCCAAAAAGGTGACGTTTTGCATATCATTAGCCAAGAGGACCCCAACTGGTGGCAGGCTTACAGGGAGGGGGAAGAGGATCAGACTTTAGCAGGTAAATATTTTGTGGAAAATATTTTAGTAAAATGTAAATTGGTTCCTCGTTATTTACTCGTAAGTATCTATCTATATTACTAGATATCTATGCAATTCTATATGTAAGCACAGAAGGGGTACATAATTTTATTTTTGGTGTCCAGTGTAGTTCGGACCCCGAAACGCAAAATTTGGAATTTAAACTCGTTATCATATATAAAAATCAAGACTTGGGTTATAGGTGACATAACGTTATTTTTTGCGGGTTTTAAAGCAACTGGCATTAATCCCCACCGACGGGAAGTGTTTAGCAGTGGTAATTTTGGATTTTCAACAATATTTTATGGGAAAATATACAAAAATCAGCGCTGAGATCCTGGGGTCTTGAACTAGAATATCAGTGAAACATTTTATATTATAATCTACATAACAGTGTGTTACCATCAAGCTTCCATTAGAAATTTGAAATGAAGGGGCGAAGGTACCAAAAACTGTTTCGTATAAAACTTTCTGAAGTCGATACTTTGAATTTTTTGAAAAATTCTTCATTATATAGGGTATAATTCCGTCATAAAATTACTTTCAAAAGATATAAGACTGTATAGACTGTCACATGAGTTTTTTTAACATCAGCGAAGAAAAACTGCTAATATCCTACTTAGCTTTATTTTTATAATTCTGAAGACTTAGGCAGAGTTTAGCCTCCGAAAAGTCAAAGATAATTATCTTTGACTTGACGTGACTGAAATCACACAGATACTTATAAGTATCTGTGTGATTTCTTTTTTTGATAGACAAAATCAAATACGACAAGTTAAAGATGAAAATATTTTTTTTGTGAAAAATGCATTGAATTTACGCAGTAACTTATTGGGACAAACTACGAATAAAAACTTTATTCTTTCTACACGTGTATGAACTTCTCCATAACAATTTTCATAATTTTCAGAATGTGGGTTAGAAGGTCGATAAAAATTATGTTTATGAAATTTTTATACAGAATATCATATGACTCAATCACACTCTACTTTGAAATTTGTTGTGATGTACCGGTCTGTACAAATTTTTGAGTCATCAATATTCATAAATTATCAAAGAATCAAACTGGCCAATACTCCTACAACGTTAGTCACTTTGATGATCATCATCATCATGGTGAATTACAATTTTTCTTATTACGGCCCTGATATGAAAGATAGATTTGGAACCTCTTGTCTGAAATGAATCTGATGAAAAATCTTTTTCCAGAACTAGAGCATTGTCTCTCTATAAGTGTTTCGCTAACCATCAGAAGATTACTGAAACTAAATCTTTCAACCATACATCAATGTCATTGGTACATTCTTGGCATGAGTTATTGTGTTAGTTTGTCTATTATCCTAATTCTTAATTTATTTACCTATATGTTGACTACTTGTTATCATACCTACTATTTACCTGATTTCTACTTCTAATTATCATGTAAGAGAGTAAAAACAGGCTGTTTGGAATAGAACCTTTATTGCCTTTCAAAGATTTCATTGTAATTTTTTCGATTTCTATACTTTCAAAGGTGTCTAAATCCCTCATGTAATATACCGGTGAATCATGATACATCGCCTTCAAAGCATAATACAGAATATATACAATTGTTCATCATTAAAATGTCAATTGCTTTTCATGATGAAAATCAAAATACTCGTAGGTACACGTGCGTAACGTATACAAATTGAATATCATCGTATATGTGGGTACAATCGCAGAAATCCTACCATTCACTCGAAAAACAATTAATTCACGTGTGTATAAAGCATTCACGTGAATTAATTGGTAATGTTTTTTTCATTGAAATTCCAAAATAATTGAATCGCACACAATTTTCCGATGAAATGACACAATCTAAACAAATATCAGTGCTATTGGAGTGATCATGAAAAGGAGCAAGATAATTCACTCGGCTTTGAAAACATAATCTATAAGATGATCTTCAGACGATGTGGTGTTGCAGGTTTTTCCGGGTTTTCCTGCAGATGAAAAAATAAATGCGCCACTGGAATCAATGAAGTCGCCCCGGAGCGCCAAATAATTTTTATTGTTGTTTCACTTAGCAAATAATAATAAAATGTGATGAAATTGGCCGATACTTGATGAAAACCCATTGTAATGTACCTATTCAAATAACACTTCATTCTGAGATTTTCACTAAACAGTTTTACAAAACCGCAACACGTGTTTCGCTATGCAATATATTTCTCAAGCTACTTGTTATTTGTTTTAGTGGACAATTTATTTCCATATTCTGTTATTCTCTTGTATTAAATTGAACAGTAAAGCAAAATAAATATGTCGAAATAGAAATAAATGGTGAAAATAAATCAAAAGTTTGCAACATGTCTCGTAAAAATTCGTAAACCTAGTGTCTGTTGTAATGTCCAAATAACCCTACGTGTTTTTTTCTGAACGGTAGGTCATTGGGAATACTGTTGAAAGTATTTATTATACCTACTTTGACACAACCTAATTGATATAATAGTTGATTGAACTACTTTTCTATAAATACTGTTGTAAATCATGCCCGAAAGAAAATAACGCCGGCCGCCACTGATAGCCATAAACCAATGGTGACGTAGCTAAGTGGGCGCGAATGTACGATGATTCTCGCCACTCGAGAAACAGCGAGAATAATGCTACCGAACTTCGGTGAAATTTCTACGGCATTCGATTACGATATTTAAAGGCTAGCTACGAGGATATCGACACAGTCAAGTGGAAGCTACAGTGCGGTACGCGAAGTGATCTAGTAAGGCGATAGACATTCAAATAATAGTTAAATTTTTAGTCGAAGTGTTTGTTGTAAAGTGAAATAAAGTTAGGTTTGATTATTCAGTGTAGTCAATTATTGGTTAACCCACGGGGAAAAACGTTACAATACATTCAGTTGTACACCCGCTGTATCACGACGTAATAATAAACATCTACTATATAATACAATAAAGTGAACGAGAAATAAAAGAGATATAACATAAATATGATTTGTATAGGATATTCAAAAACTCAAATACAAACTATACTGAATGACTCCATTGTGGTCAAAAATAACTTGTGGTTGAGACCAGGCCGGATCTAGGGGGAGCCAAGCCGGGGCCTATGCCCCGGGCGCCAAGTTCAGACAGCGGCCAAATTCAAACTTCATAGAAGAATGGACAACTCATGACTTACTTAACTTTGATCTACTATATTTGAAGAATCCCTCGTCGATTTCTCTCCACGAGAGTATTTTGCTTCGAACATGTGTTTTGTCTGTTTGTATTTACTATTTAGTAGTTGTTGATCATATTAGCTATTGGACAATGTTATGGCCAATCTTCTGATAATGGGTCCAATATAACCGGCATATATGAAGGAGTACAAGCCAGAGTCGCAGAAAGGAATGAGCTGGCAGAATTCGTACCGTTCTTGACTCACCCCTTAGATCTTGTAGATGTTAATTCTGCCCCACCATGCCAGGAAGCTAACGACCTATTTGGACTGATTCAAAAAGTATATTGATTTTTAATTTAATGGCTCCACTACTGGGGCAATATGAAAAAGTATGCTAAAACAAATTTAAAAGTAAGTAGTAAGACGAAATGATCGGCGAAATATATTGCTGGGAATGCCATATCAAATATTTTTTCAGAAGTAGCCTCAGAAGAAGTAAAGCAAACTTCTCATGCTTAATAAGCTAAATTCGGGGCAGGTTATCTTTTAACTGCTATAAAGAAATTAAAATTTATTTTTAATTTAACTATTTGGGCAAATATTCCCCGCGAACTCAATCGCATGAATATAGAAATTGAGAAAGAAGATAAAATAAGACAAAATCCAATGGAATATTGGATAAAAGAGGCTGTAGAAATTGCAGAAAAAAACTGGTGTCGCGGCTATTTTGCAAAACAAACGAATTCTGAAACGTAAAAAACATTTCGATGAGATGTGTAAGACGCATTACAAACACTCCAACCTGTTCAACTATTTTTTAAAGAAATGATCGTAGTGTTTGATCAAATCATGTCATAAATTAAAAAGAGGATTAATCGTGCTATCATGTAGAATTTAAATTTTGCTTCTCGGAATGATACTAATATTTTGAAGAAAATGTCACTTGAAGAACTGCAAAAGTATGGAGCAGCTCTGGTTCGAAAATACGAACGAGATTTAAACATCGTTGAATTCTGCCAGGAACTCAACGTTTTTAAAGAGCAAGCTCCACTTTTATCCGATGATATAGAAAAGGCTAATGGTTTCTATCTGTTGCAAGTTGCAACTATGCGCATGATTTGCAGGATGCTTTTCCTAATATTTGTATTGCTCTGCGAATTAACTCTACGTTTCCTGCTACATCCGCAAGCTGTGAGCGATGCTACGTATAAAATATATGTCCTATACCTTCATGTCTATATCTGTTAATAAATAGGCTCAACACAGCCGGAAGGCCTATGTCCAAATATTAATCAACTAGTGGACATCTGATAGCTGAAATTATAAATATAAGTGGGGGCGGCATTTTCCAGTTTTTGCCCCGCCTAAGAAAAATTGAAGATCCGGGGCTGATTGAGACTTACGAGTATATCCACCTTATATCCGATACTGCAACTACCGCCGGTTTTTATTTATAATTCAAAAATGCATTCCAAGACAACCTTTTCTTGCAAGAAGCCGGGCCTAAATTTTGTTTGAAGTATGTCAAAGGAAATTTACTGTGTACACACATTATGTAGTACAGCAATACAAATTGATATCAAGTGGCACTGCGTTGATGTGACATTACAATACTGAATATCTATTACAGGTCTGGTACCGTCACAAACTTTCCAACACCAAAGAGAGAGTATGAGGCTAGCTGCCGAGGAGAGGATGTCGAAGCCCCAAAGGAAATCGACGACACTACTCTGCGGCAAAACGGCCAAACGGAAAAAGAAAAAAGGCGCCTACGCCGACGGCGGATACCCCATGTACGCGAATGCCGTCGACGAATACGATCCGGAGGAAATCCTGACGTACGAAGAGGTTTCCCTGTATTATCCCAGAGCGAACAACAAGAGACCCGTCGTGCTCATAGGACCGCCGAATATCGGTCGTCACGAGCTTCGACAGCGACTAATGGAGGATAGCGAAAGATTCGCCGCCGCCATACCTCGTGAGTACCTACATAAATGAATCAGATACCACGTTTTATCATTAGATACTATATTTTATTATACATTCCCGTTACCAATTCTATCATTTGGCTTTCACGTCTTCATATGTATACAGAAAATTGTGAAAAACTCCCATAGGAAGGAAGAAAGCAATTAGGTTCAAAATAAGTTCTTCATATTATGATCTACACATATCTTTTGTAAAAAGTTTATTTTGAACTCAATTCATTTCTTTCTTCCTTTGGAAGTTTCCAATAACAGTTAAAATGATGTGGACGTAATCTTCAGATATTCTGAGAATATTCATAAAACAACCTAACCTAACTTAATAGTTTACAGCAATTTCAAAAATAATCAATGATCGATCAAAATACTTTACTCATACCAGATTTCTTTGAACCGCAGTTGTTATTGAGGTGTATTTTTCAAATAAAACAATTTAATGTTTCTCAAAGTAACTTTGAAAAATTCACTTACTTAATTCACTACTGCACCCCACTGTTTCATCACATGTAGGTCTCCACTTCATTTGTTGAAACGTCATTTATCAAATTACCTCTCCTACACTATCCTTGCGTCCTTTTCCTTTTGTATTCCTCTTGAATAACTTGACTTTTCATTCAAAAAAACCCAACATTTGTTAAGAAATACCGCCTCTCGGCAGAGTAAACGTTCAACTATACTAGGTATAATTCCAAAATAGTAAGCACTAAATTCTCATAAGTAACTGACGTTTTTGTCTTAATTTGTCTCTTGCAGTGGCGTACGGAAATTATACTAAACAGATGAGGAAAAATGATAATATATAAATATATAGAATCACAACCGTTGACAACAATCTTTTCGTTTTAATGCAGTAATTTTTCTGAGAATTTAGTGTCTACTATTATGAAATTTTACTCTTTATTATGCATATTTCATATATAGGGTGTCCCTGGACTTCCTCTTTTCCTCTCGGGAATGTATAGATGGGGTCAAAATATCACCAGTACTTCATATAACTTTTTTTTCCTAAAATCCTTCGTTACCAAGTAACGGGCCCTCGAAGTTACAAAATGAAAAATGTTTTTCTTTGATAACTTTTCAAGTGAATATTCAAAATCATCCAAATTTTGGTAATTGACTAAACAAATGAATTCC